CAGGAGGCGCTACTTCACTGTCAGGGCGGCTAGGATCTGGAACCAACTTCCAAGAGAAGTGGTGCTGGCTCCTACCCTGGGGGTCTTTAAGAGGAGGCTAGATGAACACCTTGCCCCGGTCGTTTGACCCCAGTACTCTTTCTTGCCATGGCAGGGGGTCGGACTTGATGATCTAGTCAGGTCCCTTCTGATCCTACAAACTATGAAACTATGAAACAATAATTGATGGGTAGGACATACAGGAGAGGTAACTAAGACCGGGGGGGGGCAAGACTATAAATCTAATAAATAAAGAGAAAGTATATATAAGTGATTTGCATTGAACATCATTTTGTAACTTTCTGCTCAAGTAAAAGATAATTGTTATATGTGCAGACTTTCTCTTCGTATCATTGTATACATAAAAGAAATTGGATGGAACTGCCTGAACTGCTGCTATGTTTCTTTTAAAACATAACAAGAGCTTCTGTCACTTCTTACAACGACTTTGGGTGCATAATAAATTATTTTTGGTTATCTCCTATATGTTTACTATCATTTGATGCTTGATTGTTCAAAGAAAATAACAGCATAGCTGCAGACCAGTTTTAGTGACCATTATTTGCACTTCATCTCATAACATTTGTATCTCTTGCTCTATGGAAATTAATCAATTTGATTTATTATAGAAAAGCCCTACGTTAAAAAATATTAAGGCTTCAAGGTAAAAGATTCAAAAGTTAGAAAATGCCAGAATTTGATTTTCCAGCTCCTATTCCAAAGGAAAAAAAAAAATGTCTTGACATTGACAGCCCATGCAGCTATCACCCCATCTCTCCAACCTCCTCTTTTAGGGAAGGCGATTGAATGAGTGGGTCACCCGGCAGTTCCAGGTCCCTCTGGATTCTATCACACACCTGAACCGTGGTCAGTCTGGCTTTTGTCCTGGGTACAGTAAGGAGATGGTGCTTATCAGCTCAGTCAACAATCTTCACCTGGAGATGGACAGGGGAAATTGTTCCTTTTTGATCTTATTAGATCTTTCAGCAGCTTTTGATATAATTGATCGGGACCTACTCAAATCATGATTTCATGGAAATCGCAAAATTAAGCAATCTCTGTGAAATTCCGCACCCCCCCCCCCAAAAAAACCTTCCTAAAAATAAAGTGCTGGCAGTCCTCCTGGCTGCACAGCCCACCACAAATAGGGCTGCCAGCATGAAAATAAGAGGGCAAGATGGCTGCCACCCCCCCCACCCACACCCCGCCGCAAGATGGACAACCCTGTCCACCAATTGGGGCAGGGGGAGCCCACTGGGGCCCCTCAGTCAGAGGTGTGGGGGGCCCCCACCATGATAAGCTCATGGAAATAGCTGCAGGGCTCACAACCTGCCTGCAAAATTGGCCGGTGATAATGCATTTGCATGACAGAGAGTGGTGATGGGTGAGTGTTTGTCATCCCATCAGGACCTCTCATGTGGGGTCCCCCAGGGTTTTGTGCTGTCACAGCTCCCGTTCAATACAAATCTGAGACCATTGGGCAAGACTGTGAGGAGATGTAGAAATGCCATCAGCCTGATGATGGCATCCAGCTCTTATCTTGCATTTTCATTCAACCCAATGCTCTCTACATGGGGCTGTCCTTGAGGACCGTCCAGAAGCCGAGTCAAAATGCAGTGTCCCTAAAGTCACCTGAGAGCAACCTCCTGCAAATGCCATGGGTGTGTCAAGTTTGGCGGAAACAAATGGGAGGTGGTTCTAGGTAATCCCCTCAGCTCTGGAGCCCTCCCCTTAAAGCCCATGATAGCCTCAGGCTGGAGATCTTCCAAAAGCATTGCAAGACCTTTCCATTTCAGGCCTTCAGCAGGTGGGGTTAAGTCTGGGGGCACTGTCTGGGTAGGATGTTCGACTAAGTTATTTTATTTTATATTTTCATCTATTTTATATATTTTATTTTATTATTTATGTTTTGTTTTTACTGTAAGCCACCCTGAGCCTCTTTTGGGTAGGGCAGCATATAAATCTTATCTAAGCTAAATTGATAAAAACTTTGATTCAGGTCTCTTGAGGGTATGAATTATGATACAATTTTTACTGACATAGTCTCACAGCATCTCCACTCCTTTACTGCCATGATGCTTATTTAATGACTACCTATCCAGTATATTGTTTGAGCATTATTGTTCAAGTGTGCCCCAACATCTTATTTACAGCACACTATATGAAGTCTGCTTTTGAAGGACAGAATTATTAATTTCCTAGGGCATTCATTACTACAATATCTGACTGCTCCATAAACATGAATGAACTTAACACCCCTTTGAGGTTAAGGGTACTAATGCCTGCAACTGACAAATGGGAAGATGAGACAGGGGAAATTAAGACTAATTTTAGATATCTAACAGGAAAATGCCCAATACCTAATATTTCAGAATGCTTAAAATATGTAACACTTTGTATGTTTTAAATGATTCACCAAACATCACACAAAAGCTAACAGAATCAGAAATAAGCCAGTTCTCCAAGGCATCTTTCAACTGCCTTCTTAGGCTGTTCTTTCTTCTCCTGAAGTCCCTTGCTCCATGCTTTGTACCAGGAGAGACAACCCTATGGCCCACAATATGGCTCCAGAACCAGCTCATCTGACCTGTAGGGTTTGTAGAAAGGCCAGGAATTTGGGAGTGGGACCTGCAGAGATGAGGCTCACTGATGGCATGCATGGCACAAGTCCCGTTGGGGATGTGTGTTGGGCACAGGGCACGGGGACAACTGCTGCAGGAACCTCCACAGCTGCCACTGCTGCTCACCCTGCTGCTGCCGCTTCTGCTGCCACATCTAGATTCAGCCTGCAAGGAGCCCTGCAGTTTGGATCTATCCCAGGGGCTGAGATGAGTCAACACCCCTAGTCTACACAACTTGAAACTTCTGCAATTAATAAGGCAGAGGTCCTACAGACAACAGTCTTATTTACCACTGAAAATGGATCTGTAGATAGATACACAGATGGACTTTGTTTTTACAGCTGCTCATTCAACAAAATTCACCAGTACAATATTGGCATTAAAAAATATACCATGTGATTCCAAGTCACACTTTCCCCACTGATTTCACTGATTTATTCAGTGAGTTTCTCCTCTTCATGGAAAGTGCCAGTCCCAGGGAGGAACTAACGGGCTTCCATCATGTATTGTGCTCTACGTGTTTGACTACGTAGGGAGAGAGTCCAGAATAACCGCTCTGCCATAGCTCCAAGTATGGCCACACAACAATCGGTTCTACAGACCAGGGTAGAGACCCACTTCTCTCTGCACCAGCGCTCCTCAACCTTTCTTCACCCCTCCATAACTTCTGTGAATGGAGTGGCACCCAATTTAAAAACTAGTTTAGATATCACAGTACTTACCTCCTTGCAGAAGGGCCAAGCAATGGCAGTGGAGGATGGATCAAGCAGGGACATGCCTGAGCTTATCTGCTCACTCCCAGGGGCACCCTTCAAAGGATCAGCTGGGCCCCGGCTGAGAATCACTGCCTTACACACATGCACTGACTACTCTAGCTGGTGACTGGGTCTGGCGGAGGCGTGGGGGGTCAGGAGCAGTCTTCCTGCTGGGGCACAGCCTAATTTACCCCGCTTCTTGGGCCCCCCCTTGGCAGCATTTCTCAACCCGTGGGCCGAGAAGAATCAGTGGCAAGGAAAGCAGTGGCTGAAGTGGGGGCGCACAAATGCCATCTTTATTACGGCGGGGGGCAAACCCCCGAGGCTGGGGGAGGCTGCCCTACACCTATGGGCACGGGGGCGAGCCAGGGAGTGAATTCACAGTGAATTCCCGGTGCGCGCTCACCCGCGCCAGGCAGGCCGGGCCCCAGAGACGGGGGGCAACCCGGGGTGGGGAGGCAGCCCCGTCCGGTCA